ACACACACACACACACACACACACACACACACACAAACACACTAAATGACCTCAAGCGATTATTGAAGACAAGCAAACAGTCAGTAATAAAATGACAGGCAGTAGAAAAACAAATATGAAATATGAAAGACAAAAATGCTAATGATATAAACAGTGCTCACTGGTGAAGAAACTCCACATGAGAACAGATCAAATGTGAATGCTTTGTCTCTGGTGATGTGTTTTAACACAGTTAATGGATTTATATCATTTGGCATTTTATTTTCTGGCTGCTTCTAAACACTGCTGCATTTCCTGTAATCAGGTCAGTTTTATTTTTCTGGTTTAATCACGATCAGCTTTTTTGTAGATCATGCATTAAATGTATATCTTGACCTCACTGTTTGGGGAAGAGACACAGTCTAGCCACTTCTACCATTTAAGTGGGTATAACAAACGCCCTCAGCAGTTATTGAAGATTAGTGTGCGTCTGAAACCTGCTGAGTTTCACAATAAGAGTCGCTTCTGAAAGCCAAACAGTAGAACTCGCACAATAATGAAACAATGTAAATATCAGTGATATATCAGCTGACCACTAGTGCTTTTATAGTCATCATTTGGCTTCAACGGCAGCTCATGCAGTCTGAACTATTTATTTCATAATTCACATTTACACAAATCCTGCCTCATGCCCACACACTCATATCTGTTTTTCTTGGTGTAATGTGCTTCATCCTTTGGCTGCTCCTCGCACTCATTCTGAACCTCTGTGCAGATCTGTGGCGCTGTCAGCTCCTGCTGCCGCTGGTCTCTCTGGGTCTGGTGGTTCTTGGTGGTTTGCTGGGCTTCTGTGCGTGTCTGTGTGGCAGTCTGAGCCCGACGCTCTTCATCGGTCTGCTGCATCTGCTCGCAGGTCAGAGACGCGACGCTGCAGGGGTTCAGTTCTGAGCAGACTTGTGCTGGACCTGTGCTCTTCTCTCTCTCTCTCTTCAGGCCTGTGTTCTCTGGCGACCGTGTGCTGTTTTCTGGCCGGGATGGATCTGCTGCACCGTGTGTCTGTGTTGCCGGATCACGTGGGCGGTGCGCTGGGCTGGTCGCTGTATCTAGCGCTCATCGCGTCTCCTCTGCACATGATGGCCGCTGCGCTGCTGGTGTGGGCGGCTCGCAGCCACAGTCAGAGCTACTACCGCATGACTGTCTATAGAGTCGCGTAATCACCACAGCGGATTCAAAACATTCAAAACCAACAGTCACCCTGAGGCTGTTGTAAGAGAGAGAGTGAGTGAGAGTGTGTATGTGTATGTGTATGTGTATGTGTGTGTGTGAAGCAGTGTGAAAAGAAAGCAGCTTTCTTTTAAAACAGCTTCAATAATAATTTATTTTTGTCCCTGTGCCAATAGGATAACAGTTTCTCTGATGGAGAATTGTCCACTGTATATTTTGTATGCAACTCTTATCACTTCAGACGCTTTTTCTGTTCAACTTTAAGTGCCCTGCGAAGTGGACATCACCAGATATTCCGCCATGATTCCAGTTTGAGGCGAGTGTTTGCTCCATTCAACGGGCATTAAAGTGTGCGAGACGTGAATTTAAATTGTATTTATTTTGTCACACTAGATACTTCTGTAGTAAGTTTGGTCAGTGTGTGAAGATGCTGGAGGCGGTGGTGTTAGCACAAATCCGTGAATGAATGTTGCGAAGTGAAGTTAACTTCAACGGATTTCCTCTGCTCAGTGAATAGGCAGCAGTGAACACTGTGTAGGGAGCATGTCAATTAGAACACAGCTATGCATGGAGCTCTCTTCTAATGAGCTGGTTATCTGAATCAGGTGTGTTAAACGAGAGACATGCACAATATGCAGAGCGAGGGCTGGGATTGGGAACCGCTGCATTAAAGCCCTAAACACACTGCATGATTTCCGGCTGTCCCAGATGAAAGATTGGCATCATTAAACAATCGTGGCGATTTCTGTGATCGTGACTCCTAATCTGTGCTCCTGTGTCATACAGTGAGAGAGGTTCAAAGTCTTGCGACCAAAGACAGCCTACGATACAGCATGATCATCGCACTGTGTTTGCTACTACGATCCACGTTTACTGACCAACCAATAAAAAAGCGACATGAATTCAACGCGACAAGGCGCTAAAACATAAAACTGCTTACCTCAAGCTCTTATGCCTTCCTCTTTCGCCGCTTCCACTTTTTTTCAGCACACATAAAAAAATACAACTGCTAAAGTATGATTTATCATGCTCTTTTTGTTTACTACTAGCGCATGCTGGTGACATTTTATTCTTCTATAGGAACGTGTCGTAGCGTACAAGTCAACAGGTGTCATCATCGTACAGTCTACACTATGGAAGAAAATAAAGGACAAATGTTTTTGAAACAAAAAAGCATGTTTCTGATGATTCATGATTTCTTCAGATCAGTTTTTGTGAATGAATGACTTAATCCACCTGTTGCTTTGGTCTTCATGAACAGCCGTTTGTGCCACCTGCTGGTGAGCGACTGACAGCAGCTGCAGATCATGCTTCGGTGCTCTACTGCTATTCCTGCAGATCCCGGATGTGCAATGCCGAATTTTCTGCTGAATTTGAACCGCTGCATTTGTGGAAGCGAATTTGTAAAGTGAAATAAAATGGACCGAAATTTTACGGTTGAATATTATACATCATATTTTTAAACAGAATGAATATTTGGGAAGTGAATTCTGGAAGGTGAATATGAATTATTGAATTTTTGATTATGAAAATGTGTGTGAAATATTTGGAATTGAAATATTCACAGCTTAAATAAACAACTGTTAAATTTCAGGACCTAAAAATGCAAGCCCTGGAAATACAAGGCATTAAAATGCAAGTAGAGACCTGCGCAGGACGGATTTTTCAGTCCCACTCCCGCAAGATTCTGTCCCGCTCTCGCAGAAAAATATCTTATCTGGGCACGCTCCCGCCCGCGACATTCATGTTGTGAAGTAATCTATATAGATATTTTTTGAGCACATCAAATAAATTTACATTAAATGGTTCTGTAACATCTCCTAAGATCCACAACATCCCAGCATAAATGCTCCCGATAAAATATTTGTTATTTAGGCTCATCAACATTAACAAACCACTGTTATTTTTAACAGAAAAGCAAGCATGGGCTGCTGCGTGCATGGTTTGGCATGGCAGAATGCGAGCAGCGCTTCCTTTATTATCACTAAAAGCTGACATCTTCCATGCTAATAAAAACATCATCTGTGCACTATTTACACAGTGGACGTATGTTTTTCAGAATATCTTAAAGTTGGCTGTTTTTCACACATGCAGTGTTCCCTGGCATCAGTAATAAACTCGTCTTGAGCTCATGTTCATGCTTGTGTTCCTTCATCTCAGCGTTTCTGAGCGGACTGAAGGAATCTGCACTCTTCTCTTCCTAGCGAGGGAAAGAGCGACACCCTTCTCATAGTACGCACCCTCGTTTATGAAGAATGGATAGAGTGCTTCTTTCCCTCTGTAGCGCAGCGTTTCCCCTGAGAAACACAGGAACATGGGGTCTCCGGGGTGAAGGAGGCAGAAATCTCTATCCTGCGAGAGGGAAATAAGAGGGAGGGTGTTAACACTGCGATTGGAGGAGTTCGTGGCAGTGTTTCTGATCATCTTTCTGTACCTGTAGGTCGGGATGGACCGCGGCCGTGATCACGTGCGTTTCAGAGTCTCGTGGATAGTCGATATTCTTCACCATTGTGTACACATCAACCCATCCTCCTTCGAACAGCATCCCTGAGCAGAGAGATGCACGCAAGCCATGAAAACACACAGCAAACAGATTTCTGCAGGGGTTTGTGGCTGAAAACCTACCTGAGTTGAACTGACAGATCCAGTCCATCATCAGCTGAACTCCTTCCTGCATGGCGCTGAATATCGCAGACCTGACGACGCCGTGAGGCTGTGGCCCAATCTCCATCGCTGAGAGGAAAAGAATCTACGTCAAGCTAAATATAGCACTTAAAGATTTAGTTCACCCAAAAATTAAAATTAGACTATGTTTTACTCAGCCTCGAAGCATCCACAAGTCATCAAATAAAGCGCATGTATTCATAATAAAATGTGCCGCAGACGGCTCCGGGGGATGAATAAAGTACTCCTGTAGCGAATCCATGTGTTTTTGTAAGAAAAATATCCATATTTCAAACGTAATAAACACTTTTCTCTCACTTCCGTTATCTGTCATACACAGAAGTGTTCCGGCGGAAGGCGTATGACGTATGCGCAGCGCGCGCGCCTCTGAGATGCTAGTCTCGCGAGTTTGTTTACAGGAGCAAAGGAAGCAAAGTTTCCTTAATTTAGCAAAGGAAAACCAGTCTCCTCTTCGCTTATATCGAAATCCTCTGACATTTTTCTTTACAAATCCTCGGTTTGTACTTATAATTTGTGACCAGTGTTTTGTTTTGTTCTCTCTCCACATTCGTAACTAATCACGCAACGCCGACGTGCTACGTATGACAGATAACGGAAGTGAGAGAAAAGTGTTTATTACGTTTGAATATGGATATTTTTCTTACAAAAACACATGGATTCGCTACAGAAGGCCTTTATTCACCCCCCGGAGCCGTATGAAGCACATTTTATTATGAATGCGCGCACTTTATTTGACGACTTGTGGACTGTTCAACTGCAGCACCCGCTGACTGCAATGATAGCGCTTGGAATAGCCAGGACAATTTTTAATATAACTCCAACCGGATTCGTCTGAGAGAAGAAAGTCATCTACACCTAGGATGCCTCAAGGGTGAGTAAAACACAAGCTAATTTACATTTTTGGGTGAACTAAACCTTTAAAGATAATGTTGCATTCATTTATTTGACTCATCCTGATCCATGGGGGATATTAATTTAAAAAGCTGAGTAGCAACAACAACAAAAAAACGCTTATGCATGGCTTTGCTGTGATGGATTGCTGTATAGATGATGCATGCATGAATCTTGCTGTGGCTGGTGATGATAAGAGAACAGCATAAGCTGCAGCCGCCACTGCTTTCATGTCCAACATTTCAGCAATGTTAGTCTCAGAATAAATTTTTTTAATGTTTAGAGTCTATTTAATGAATATGATTCATAGCAAACCCCAGCACAGTCAAGCATTACAGTCCATCTATAAATTAGCTGCATAACTGTACAAGAAGTGTCTGAATCAGCATTTCACTGCAGAGTCGATGTTTAACAGCATGTCTAAATGACGTCAGCCGTTAATACTACTGAACATTTTCCTTCAAAATAACTGAATCTGCAGAGAGCAACAGTACTCATTTCTGTCTGTGTGTGATGCCAGACATATGTTGATAAACTAGTCAGTTAGCAATGTTTGGAAAATGAATGGATGAGTGAACAACAAACACTTTCAGATGAAGTGTCTCACCAAATCCATGCTTCCCCACTGAATCCAGAGAATAGGCTTCATTGAGAGGAATATCAAAGTGAACGTATCTGACAGGAGTGGAGGCCATTTCTCTCTGAAAACACACAAATACTGACAGAAGTTGGACATAAATATGCTTTAGCATAACAGATATCAAGCATATAAGGGAACTGCATGTGTTTTCTAGATCAGCTAGTGTTAGTGCGTGCCTGCAGGTGTTTGCAGATGTGCAGGCAGATCCAGTCGTGGTCGGAGTATGTGATGAGACACAGCCCTGTGTTTGCAGTGGTGTTGTGCAGGTCACACAGCAGGTCGACTGCCTGCGCGCTTGCTTTAGGGCCCAGAAGAGCGTTGAGCTCCTGAGAGCGGATCATCTCGTACGGCGAGGTCTCGGAGACGGGTGCGCTGACAGACAGACAGAATGACAAACACAAGTCAGAACATGCCCACCAATCTGCAGTTACAGTGAGGCTAACACTGCAGCGATGCAGCAGTCAAACACTGCAGAGTAGTAGAAACACACGACATGTATGAATCTGGCATGTGCTGTGAGATGGCAGATGAGTCAAACATTCGTTTGCTCAAGTTTAGTGAGTCTCACTCCTGACTCAGATCTATCAAAGACAAGGCCAGTGACACAAGCTGCTGCAGATGTCATGATGATACAGAAGAACAGCTCTCGAATGTGTGCCAGTGACCATCGCCTCTGTGTCAATTCATAAATAAAGAGAAGGCATCTGTTCACTGCTCCAGGACCAACCCATGGCAGCGGTCTAGGGTCTGAAATCCAGATGATTTTTTGTTTCTATTTACTGACCTGCCTCTTTCTGACAGTGCTGCCATGCAGTGAAAGATTATTGTGTACTGGCAGCTCTCATAAACTACCAGCACTCTGTTCTGTTGCAGCTCGAGAGAAACCACAGATTTACTCTCTCTCTCTCTGCACACAGACACACAGACTCTTAACAGTTTTGCTCAAAGTCTCTTTACTATAGAGGCATCAGAGCCAGCGGCTCCAGAAGATCTGTCTGAGGTGAGGCTGCTCTTGGCGGGATCATGAGTGCTGATGCCCTGGAGCTCACATCTACCAAAGTTTCAAGTCTGTCTTTATTAACAAACCACATATCTGAAGTCTAAACAACTATATTCCCGCCTAAAAAAAAAAAAAACGTAAAACTACATTGCATGATACAACAACAGTATTATTTACATTATTATAATGGGTTTGATTGTCCACCATGACACTCGCTGTGAACGGTGAAGCGGTTCCCGTGGTATTATTGGGGAATATCTCATTTAAATATAATATAGTTATAAATCCGGTCCTTGTTGTTTCTCCCACTCACACCAGAGGGCTCCATTACCATACTGACTATTCCTTCCTAAACTCAATTTCCCATGATCCCCTTTCCAGGATCTATTTATCCTCACAGCTGTTTCTCATACACTCACTCATTGTGAAGTCTTGTTTTGCTATTGTGAACAAGAGCGGTTTCCCTTGTTCCTGTGGGTTTGATCCCAGACTGTTATTGATTATTTTGCTGCCTGCCCTGACCGCTTTCCTGTTTCTTGGGTTACTCTTTTGCCTTGCCTCTGTTATTGTGTTTTGCTGGTGTTTGACCCTGCCTGTTCCCCATACGCTGCGCTCGTTCCCTGCGCGTCTCACCTGAGCGCGGCTCGCGTGAAGCAGCGGTTCAGGTCCGTCTCCACATAACGCACACACAGCTGCGCGGCACGCGAGTTCGACATCACCGTTACCACGGAAACCGGCTCTGTCCCATCCGCCCGCTTCTTCAGCATCTCCCTCACCAGATAGATGCCTGCAAGCTCATTGCCATGGGTACCGCCGCAAACCGCCACTCGCGACACCGTTGGCATAGCAACCGCCTTCATCCGGTCACATGACAATGAGAACTCAACACAACTCTAGATTTACACACTTCCTGTAATGAGCATTATCATGTCATGATCTAATGAGTTTAAGGCAGGACTTACGTTCCTCCAGAGATGACTATATCTGTCCATCTGCGTCAGACCGGCTCTTCTGACCGACGTTTAGCCTTTGAACTCTGACCCTGCAGTGCAGCTTTGCTCCGAATGACCCAGAATGAAACTCCCTCATGGTCTCCTGAGTCTCTATCAGTCGCTGCTGCTTTCACTGAGTTTATCTGAGTCAGCAGGACTCTCTCTCTCTCGCTCTCTCTCTCTTTCTATGTCTCTCTCTCCCTCTCTCTCGCTCTCTCTCTCTTTCTATGTCTCTCTCT